GGGCTTTTGTTCCCAAGGAGAGTTAAGATTGCCAGTTGCTACTGGGATAAACTGTGCTGACTCAGCTCCTTCCTTTAAAAGCTCCAGACTGGTCAGGAAGGAAGCCAGGGCATCCTCAGCCCCAGGAGGCCTTGTCCTTGGAGGTTGCCTGAGAGGCAGGAAAGAGGCTTCCAGGTGGAGACCCAACCTTTGGTCCTGTCCTCTGCCCTGTAGCCTGATGTGGGGCCTCTCAGGAGCTGCCTACTCAAGTTGGGCCTCAAAATTGGACCCGAACCCTGTTATAAGGCCAAACTGTGAGAAGGATGCTCTCAGAAGGAACTTGGAAGAGTGGCTGTGTACCTCATGGTGGGACTTATCAAGTTGAATCACACTCTGACCTGCAGTTTCTGGCAGGGACAGACAAGAATGTGACCACCACAAGTGGTAACCAGCTAATTTACTGAGAGCATCATATGCCAGGTCCTGCTCTGGCCGCCTTGTGTGTGTTAATTTAATGAATTCTCATAACCACTCTGTGACGTAGGTAAACTCATTGTCCCTGGATAAGGAAACTGTGATGTGGAAGGGTGCCCAAGCTCCACTCAGCTATTGAGTGGTGGAGTTCATATTTGAGCCTAAGTCCTCTAGCTCTAGAAGCTCTGCCCTTCGCCAGCAATCTGGGATGGAACTGGGGACTTCTCTAGTCATTTTTAAGGCATTTAGAGTTGTCAGAAACACAGAAATCAGCCATTCTAATTCCCACAACTTACAGATGAGATCCTAAGAGGAGTTTCTTTTTGTGACTCAGCTGGGTGGTGTCAGCAGGGACCAGAACCCAGGTCTCAGCATTTTGGCCCAGTCCTGTCCTTTGACAACCACAGTGCCCCCAAGTCCCTCTGCCTTGGGGATTTCCTCCCACATCTCAGACAGAACAGACAAGTGTGTGCCCATAGGAGTTGTAATCCTCTAAGTGGCATCTCCCATCCCTGCCATCAGTGTCCTACCTCCCAGCCTTGCCCTACCCCAGTGCGTCCTGCTACCATGCTGCTTATCTTCTCCCTCAAGCTGGAGGCCACTCAGGACTCAGATTTAGCGATTGCAGTAGCCCCTTGCAGCTGCTTGGCCTGTAAAAAGAACACGTTTCCCTCCCGGGGTACAGGGAGGACCTTCAATGTGGATGAGGAAGTGAGTGAGAGCATATGCCGCCTGCTATGCTGGGACCACAGGTCAGCTGTCCGCTGGAGGAGGCTGCTCTGTCCACTCAGCAGGTTTGGGCAGGCTGCTGGGAGACAGGCCTGCCCTGGCTGGGATGGGGGCACAGATCACATACTCCCAGGAGGAAAGCCACCACTCAGGCTGGCCTTTGGCCTGTCTCTGGGTTTTGGCAGAGGGTCTCTCCCCATGAAGTGTTTCCTTTTCCTTTCTGGCTGCTTTCTCCCACCTCGGTGCGGAACCAGTGCCTGTCTGTGTGGTGGTGCCCTGATGAGAGCCCCACTCTCCGGAATCCAGCTGGGGGTTTGCATGTAAACAGCCATGGTCAAGTAGACACTCAGTAAGGCCCAGATCCCCACTTCAACTTCTGCAGGCTTTGAACCCCCAGCCAGGGAGGGGCTATGGGGGTGACTTTCTGTCCTACAGTCAGACCCTCTGGGTGTAGGGACCCTGCCAGGAAAGTGGCAGGAGGCTGGATCCTCTGGGCCTCTGTTAGGGAGGGCTCACCATTCTGTGCTAGCTCTCACTTTGCCGGGGCAGCTGCCTGTACCATAGAGTCCCTGGGCCGGCATGGGGCTTCCAAGGGGCTCTGAGGCCAGCTGGAGAAAGCCTTAAGTCAGGAGAGCTGTATATGGAGTAGAAAGAGCTGAGGCTTGGAGGCCGAGGGATTAGGTGAGTCCTGGGCCCTGTAAAATGGGTGTGACTTCCCCACCGTCCTCCCACATAAAGGCAAGATGTACTGAGGAAGATTTTCTAACCCTTAGAGATGGGAGGGCTCATCATTTATGGCCACTTGCTGTGATAACCCAGAGAATAAAGAAATGCTGAAGATCCCAGGCAGAGAAAGAAGCTGACTCACTGGGCTTGCCAAGCCAGGGATGTGAGAGGAAGTGGCAGAGATTCTGTGGGGAGGGGACACAGCTAATCGGTTTGGAGAAGCCATGTCAGCCACTTCCTCAGTCTCTGTCAGCCGCTCTCTGTGCTCATGCACAGACACACCTCTCAGAATGCTGAGCCTTGGGTTTGGCTGAGCAAGGCCACACTCACCCCCAGCAAGGGGAGTCCCCCACCCCAGCCTGCCAAGGCCCAGGGAGCTCTAACAGAAGCTGCTGGCCTCTGCAGCATCAGGCACCTCCTGTGGGGATTCAGCCTGACCCTGGTGGGCCCCCACAGCCCTCCTGCCCTGGAGACGGTGGCCTTCCCCCAGGATGCAGTATCAAGGGAGAATGGAGGGTCAATCTGCAGAGTTTACCCTCCCCCGACAGCCAGGGGAGTAGGAAGAATCCGGAGTAAGGAGCTGATAGGAGAACCTCCAGTGTGGAGGCAGGGGCATGGAACTGGAGGTGGGGACCGCGGGTGCTCATCCTTTTTGGCACCTGATGAGCCTGTGTCCCTCAAGCCCTCTCCAGTCTCTGGGTTCCTCGCCTGTCAGCTGAGGAGTTTCCTGAGATGATGGCTGAGTTTCTTTCCCCCCTCGGCTCTGTGGCACTGCAGGGGCAGTAGTAGCTTGAGGGCCCTCAGCCAGCAGGGTAGGTCCCAGAGCACACGTGCTCTCTCACAGAAGCTGGAGCAGAGCTGGGGCCAAGCGACCTAACGCAACGCAAGGCGAGATGGCTCCTGCTGTGTGGAAGGGAAGAGGTAGAAGGAGCAGGAAAGAACTTTCAAAGACTCCCACCATGTGCCAGGTCTTACATACCTTATATTATTCATTACTTTTGACAATTCATCAGTGTTGGCATTTTTACCCCCATTTTATAGATGAGAAAACTATAACTTGTTTAGCCTGTGAGACTCAAAAGTCTGAGCTTTCTATGTATCTTGCTGCCTTTTCTGACTGTAAATTCAAGGAGAAGGGTTTGCCCCTAGATCCTCCCATTGCTGACTGTATGAGTCTGTGCATGGCTCTCTCTGCCCCCAAACCTTGAAGTCCCCATCTGTAAAATGACAGTAAAGTGCTCAGCACGGACCTGGCACACAGTCAGTGCTCAGTGACTTGATTATAAGAACATGTTAGTGAAGTATTCTGCAAAAAGCCAAGGGCGATCCCACCTGCGGGGTCGTTGCTGTCATCCCCAGATGAGCTGGGGCTGGTCTTTGACTTTTGTTCTGTGCGACCTGGGGCCCTTTACACCTGCAGGATGAGCTGAAACCTGTCTCAGGGCCAGGATGAGAAGCCTGACTCTGTCCCAAAGTGCCTGAACTTCTCCCTGGCCTGAAGAGAGGGTAGGCAGGTCAGCCAGTCCTGCTGACACCTAATCCTTTGGGCTGCAAGCCTGCTGCAGGCCCTCAGATACAAAAAGACTCCATTTCCCCTGCTGGGACTTCTGCCAGCCCCAGCCTGTTCAGGCACCACCCTTTGGAGAAAGCAAGAGACTGCTGGAGAGGAGGGGAGGCAGCTCTGCATCTGCCCTACAGCCAGGTCTCCATGGGAGCCTTGCTCCTGGGGACAAGCCCAGCTGGTCCTACCAGCAGGGGCACCTCAGCCCCAGGTGGGGAATCAGAACTTACGGAGACATTGCCTCTGGACTCTATTACCTGCCTGTTTGCTAGGTGGGGTCTGGAAATCCCAGTCATTCAAACAAAAATGTTTGAGTTTCTGTACAGTAATGTGCCAGGAGCAGGGGATCAGAGATGGGGAAGTTGCTGGATGCTGAGCTCCCACTCTCTCAAGTGACAGTGACTCCAGAGCCAGAAACTGATAGAGATGGGAGTTGTCATTTCTTGGCTCCCCCACCAGATCTGGGGGGGCATCTTGAGCCCACAGTGTGCTCTGGGTGGGGCATCAGGATGAGGAAGGGGCTTCCACACCTGCCCTTGCCCTAGGCTCTGGTAGGCCTCTGTGGGCTTGGCATAACCTCCACTGTTCTCTTGTGGGAGCTCTGGCTCCAGCCCTGGGGATTCCCGTCTCTGACCTCACATGCTCTGGGGCAGTTGGCTCTGCCCCGTTGGTAAAGCTTGACCTCTTTATGCTTTCTGCTTCTCAGTTATGCTCAATTCCCTCACCTAGGCCCTCCCAGAGTGCTTTTTCTGCAAAAGCAAGCCTGGGTTGTAGAGCAGGCCTGCCTTGGGATCCGAGAGCCAGAACCAAGACCCCACAGAGCAGGTGGTTTCTCTTCTGCAGTGGGGCTGTCTTTGCCCCATTGGTTCCAGGACTGGTTACAGCCTGGTCCCCAGACCCAGGCCTCCCTCCCCCACTCCCAGCCAGTTATATCAGAGCTTCTCCCTGCCCTTCAGCTCTCTTTTCACCCTCACCACCACCACCACCACCACCAGTTCCCGGGAACCACAAGCCCCGCTAACTGCCCTTCTTCACATCTCTGGGAGTGGGTGGGGTCTCCTGCTGCAAGATAGGTTTGCCACAGCCCTCTTTGGTTCACTTGCCCTGATATGTGTTCAGATTGGTGAATAGACATGGTCTCTCCTTCACAGGTCTGTGCCACCCTCACAGTTGACAGGAACTTCACCACCACTCAGCCTACCCTCCCCACTGCCAGCATCCAGGCATCATACCCCTGCCTTGGGCTGTGGGGAAGAGCACCCTGTTCCCAGACCCTAACTGCTTGGCACAACCAGTGGCCCATTCTCACAGCATTGTGGGGGCCACAGCAAGCAGAAGGCTCCCCTGCCTTTGGAGAGCTCAGGCTTGTTGCAGAGATGAGCCAGCAGAGTAGGGCTAGGCACCACGATGTGGCTGCTTTCAAAAGAAGTCCTGAGTCTAACACTTAAGGGACAGCCACCGCCTACGTGTAGGGTGTTATGGAGAGAGGGGTTCAGTGGCCCACAGGAAACAGCCCTGGGTCTGCACCGACATGAGTCAGCAGTATGATGTGGCTGACACAGTCAAAGCCATGTCAGCGAACCAGGATGGCCAGCAAGAGGAAGAGGTCGCCGTCTTGCCAGGCTCATTCTGGCTCAGATCATATGCCCTTGGCTCTGGGCCAGGCCCACCAGAGTGCTTCCAGAAGTCATCAGTCACAGGAGTGTAAGGTTAGGAAGGGCTGTGGCCGCTGAGCCAGAATATGAGATTTGGAGAAAGGTGGAAAAGTCGAAATATCTGAAGGGCTTTCAAATGAGAGACCTGGCTAGACCCCAGGAACACAACTAAGCTCAGCAAAGGTGAAATTCAGGGACAGAAGCTTTAGTGCATGGATGGCAGACAGTGCAGAACAGTCAGTTGTAGCTGCCCAGAGCACTGCCATACAGGATTCTGGGCTTCTGCCTGGACTTGGTGGGGAAGCATGCCATAATCACTTATGCCATCTGCCGGGGTGCTGGCTGGGAGGCCACACCACGAGCACGACGTACCTGCCACCCGCTTTAGAGCCAGTGCTGGAAAGACCCTCGAAACCCCTCAGGTTATATGAAGGTGACCAGATGGTCTGTGTCAGGCAGTTATTTCTCAGGGCCCTAGTGCCATAGCAGACCAGGGGCCCGTGATAACTTCTGTGCCAATGTGCAAATAAAAAACTGGATTATAGAAAAAGCCAATTATGTTTAAAGTTATCAAAACATTAAAAAAGCAAGTTTATGAGATAGTAGGATGTATGTGTATATGCTTCTTAACACATAAAATTATAAGCAGTGGGTCTAATTACTGTAATTTTGGAGTAGCAATGAGTATAAACTTCACAATATCTGCAACAACACCGTGATAATGAGAATAGCTGTGATTTCTGTGTGTCACAAAGTCACAGGTACTACAATGCTGCATTCATAATTTGAGGAAATGCTAAATATTTAAACTAAAGGTTCCCAAGCCCCCCTATATTCTGTCCATGATCCCAGATGAAGATGCCTTGCTGTGGAGAGTGGCCCCTTTGAGAGGGAGCCCCACTCTGAGCTGAGTTCCCCAAGTCTGGCCTCTTGGCCTTGAGAGGAGCAAGCTTGTTGGCAGGCACCAGGGCACAGTTGCAGAGCCTGCTGCCCTGCCAGCATTTGACCTCTCTCTCTGCTGCAGGTGGGCGGACAACTTTGTGGCCCAGGGCTGCGGAGGCAGCAAGGAGCACAACTTCCAGCATCCTTTCCTCCAGGTATCTGCCCCTTCCCTCCGCACCTCTTGTCTCCCAGGCTTGTCCCTGTGAGGCCCTGCTGTTTCCTGACCTGAGGGTGGAGCCTTCCCCTGCTCCTGGAAGAACCTCTACTTCTCTCTCTCCCTGCCCAGAACAAAGGCCAGGGTGTGAATGCCCCTGGAGGGCAGAGGGCACAATCCACTGTGGGAAGCCTGCACAAGTCCTGGTGGGTGGTCATGCCCTGGGCACCATGAGGCCAGCCCCACTGTCCAAGTCGGGACATATTTGGAAAACATCAGTCCCGGTGGCAAAACCTGCTGTCCATCCACAGGGAACCCAGCCCCCACTGGGACAGGGCACACACCATAAATGGAAGACACCTTATTGCCAGACTGGGAACTGGTCTAATTTCAGCCCCAGCTCTGCCAGCAACTTGCTCTCTGACCTTAAATAAGTTCTGGAGCCTCTCTGGGCCTCAGTTTCTCCATCTGGAACTTGACCGGGGGTTAGCTTAGATGAGTGATTTTCAGACTAAGCTCTACATAGCCTCAGGGTCTCCGAGATGTTTGGGGGCCTGGGGGCAGACCTTGGAGGCAGTCAGTCTCTGGCCTCCCACACATAGCAGCTCTGCTTCTGTCTTAATTTACACGCTGAAATATAGGTAAGCTCTTGTTTGAAGAAAGGTGTTAATGTTTTTGTTAAAGTTGGTCCTCCTTCCAGCCCTAAGCTTCTAGGGTTCTGTCCCTGCAGGCAGTGGGCATGTTCCTGGGAGAGTTCTCCTGCCTGGCTGCCTTCTACCTACTCCAATGCAGAGCTGCGAGGCAGCCAGATGCCAGCATGGATCCCCAGCAGCCCTTCAACCCCCTTCTTTTCTTACCCCCAGCCCTCTGCGACATGGCTGGGACCAGCATCATGTATGTGGGTGAGTAGCCAGGCCAGGCTGACAAGGGCTCAGCGAAGCCTGTGTCCCAAGGGGGCCACTGGCGAAACAGCCACCCCTGTCCCCAGCTCATCTTCGCTCACTCCTGCCCTCTCCCACACACTTCACACACAGCCATACAACCAAGATTTACTGAGCACAGACTATTGGGGTGCATGTCTTCAGCCCTGAGGACTCAGGAACTAGCCAGCCTCAACCCTTAGGAACTAACGCCCTGTGTCTCTCCTCTCCTAGCCCTGAACATGACCAGTGCCTCCAGTTTCCAGATGCTGCGAGGAGCAGTGATCATATTCACAGGCCTGTTCTCGGTGGCCTTCCTGGGGCGGAGGTTGGTGCTGAGCCAGTGGCTGGGCATCCTTACAACCATTGCAGGGCTGGTGGTTGTGGGCCTGGCTGACCTCCTGAGCAAGCATGACGATCAGCACAAGCTCAGCGATGTGATCACAGGTGTGGCTGGGGTCTGGGGTCTAGGGCCCATCCTGTCCTCCCTTCCCTGGGAGCCCAGCACAGAGTCATTCAGACAAACTTTTCCAAGCTCTTCTGAATGCCAAGCCCTGGAGTAGGGCATGTGGGAGACCAGCTGGTGTGGACCACCTGCTCTGGAGGTGACAGAGTGTAGTGAAGACCAGAGAGGCACAGGCAGCATTAGAGAGGGATAGATAAGGAGCCATGAGGTCAGAGGAGGGAGACAGCTTGTGCTCTGACACACCTACGTGCACACAAACTTTGGGATTTGGGAGAGGAAAGGCACAAATGTTATTGAGCACTTAGCAAGTGTCCAACCTGGTGCCAAGCAGTGTATATTCGTCATCCCAATAATCCTCACAGCCCCAGAAAGGAAGCACTACAGCCCATTTTAAACAATGGAGTGACCGCTCTGCTCATTCAGATGCGGGATTAAATCAGAATGTCCACCCCAAAGCCTATCCTTTCTCAAAAGACTTCTTGCCCCATCATGTAGCGTTCAGGCCCAGGCAGGTCTCTGGACCTTCTGGAACCTCAGCCCTGCTGGCCTGCCCCACCCCTCAAGGGCCAGGAGATCAGGCATGGAGGCTCTCATGACTGTGCCTCATGAACTGCATGGTGCCCTGCAGAAGTCAGGGGCTCTGGCTATTGTTATGTCCCTGCAGGAGCTGTGTCCCTCAGCATCAGGCCCGTCACCCTGCCACAGCCCTGTGGCCTTGCTCTCTCCCTGCCTCCCAACACCCCAACCCCAGTGCAGCCCTTACTTCCCCTGGGCCTCTCCTTTCCCATAGGGGACCTGTTAATCATCATGGCACAGATCATCATCTCTATCCAGATGGTGCTAGAGGAGAAGTTCGTCTATAAGCACAACGTGCATCCCCTGCGGGCAGTTGGCACCGAGGGTATGTATGAGCCTGAGTACTGGGACGAGGGCTGGTTGGGCACACCAAAAGCTATCACAGAGAGTGAATGTGCTAGAAGGAGCACAGAGCCAGGTGCTGGGAGCTGCTGGGCAGGGCTGAGCCTCTTGTTCCCATTACTTCCTCTCTTCCCCATGCATGTGTTAACACCTGCCATGCACATGTCCAGGAGCTCTGGAAAGATGAGGAATGTGAAAGAGAAGCAAGCCCAAGAGGAGTTGAGAGGAGCTGAGCAGCAAGAAAGGACCAGGCAGTGCAGTTTAGCTTAGATCACTTGTGCTCGAGTGGTGCTACATTGCCAAGCATATCTGAGTGTCTTCAGGCAGCCAAGATGGCATTCGAGCTGTGGATTTCTACAGGCAAGAGCAGGAAGGAGGGAAGTCCAGGCAGAGTGAAGACATGGAGCTGAATGTGAATTTGGAAACCAGTGAGTAATAGTTTGAGTGAGGTACAGGTTCGATGTTGGAAAGTGATTAGGAATTGAATAGGTCAAGGTCACATGGAGAACCTTGAATATTGGGCAAGTAGATTTAGACTTTAAATGACAGGCAGGAAGGAACCACCAAAGGTTTTGAGCAGGAAGTAATCAAGATTATGATTTAAAAATAGGAAAAAAGCAAGGTGGATTAGAGCAGTGCCTCCAAAGTGTGGCCTGTGGGCTAGTCAGGGAACTGTTTGTGCCTAGTCCACAGTGAGCTGAGGGCTTATGACAGAATGTTTATCAACTAAATCAACTATACCATCAGGCATATTGTTCCTGTTCCTTTTTTTCCTAGCAAGACTCTGAATTAAGCAGTACATTGATTTGCATTCTGGTCCAGCTCCTTGTCACAGACCAATGACACTGAATTAGACAGCAATGTTTTTCCACACTTGTGAGAGCAATGAGTGGTTACAGCCACAATTCTTGAAATCAATAGAATAGAATTAAAAAGCACCAGGGAGCATTATACATTATAAGGGTAGCGGTTTTGTGAAAGTGCATGTGTGTGCATGCCTGTGCACATATATACTGGTCACATAGAATATGTATTTCTTACTCCTGATCCAATCAGAAAACAGACTGAAGTGGAGAAGAGGCAGCTCAAGCCTATGCAGTAGGCTGTTGAGAATTCCTCAGGAGAGAGTCGGCTCCAGGACCTGAAAGGAAGGAGCGAGCTGGTGTGAGGGCAGCAAGGAAGGGGTGGCAGGAGCTGAGCGCAGCCTGGGCTGGGCTGGATGCCCTGGGAGTCTGGGGGCCGAGTGGAGAGGGCAGCGTGCTTCCTCTCCTCCTGCAGGCCTCTTTGGTTTTGTCATCCTCTCCCTGCTGCTGGTGCCCATGTACTACATGCCCGCTGGGGCCTTCAGTGGGAACCCTCGAGGGACACTGGAAGATGTGCCGGATGCCTTCTGCCAGGTGGGCCGACAGCCACTCATCGCCCTGGCGCTGCTGGGCAACATAGGCAGCATTGCTTTCTTCAACTTTGCGGGCATCAGCGTCACCAAGGAGCTGAGTGCCACTACTCGCATGGTGCTGGACAGCCTACGCACTGTTGTTATCTGGGTACTGAGCCTGGCACTGGGCTGGGAGGCCTTCCACCCACTGCAGATCCTTGGCTTCCTCATCCTCCTGCTAGGCACTGCCCTCTACAATGGGCTGCATCGCCCCCTGCTGACCCGCCTGTCCTGGAGCCGGTCCCCAGTGGCGGAGGACAGTGAACACGAGAGACTGCTCAGTGGCTCTCGGACTCCCATCAATGATGCCAGCTGAACGTCCTGCGAGTTCTCTGCTGCTCCCAGGATGTACCTTGTTCACCCTGAAGCTGAGGCCACACAAGCTGGTGAGCCGCAAGTGCCCTGTTCCCAAGGCCTCACTCTGCCCCTCCCCAAAAGACTCCCAGGGCAGCTGTTGCCAGAGAAGACAACACAACACCTAGGTGCTGCTTCGACACCACCCCTGAGTTGTTTCAGCCCCCATAGGCCTGAGTGCAGTGACTGACCCCCACTAGGCTCCCCACAGCCCTCCAGGCCCCTCCTGCAGCACCAGAGCTAAATCATGAAATAGAATTGCAAGAACTAATGACCCTAGGATTTCTCCCAAATCATAAGCTAAATCTGGTTCTCCAAAGAAGAGAGGTCAGTGAGCAAATTCAAAACAGAACTGAACACTGTGTTTTCTAAAACATAAGATGTTCTCTAGCCCTGTTTGGAGACCAAGGTTCTAGTTCTCCCCAGCCCATCACCTAGTCACTCTGGGCCTTGGTGTGTCCTGTCTGTACAGCAGAAGGTATGGCTACTGTGACTTTAGTATCTTCCCCCCCAGCTGGGCCCATGCTGTGGGCCTAAGACCTGGCCAACCTGGGAAAGGAGTAACACCCACTACTGGGAACGCCCCTCTGCCCACAGTGCCACCGTCTCCTGCCTTCTTCCCTGTCCTTGCTCACACCCCTCAAGGCCTCCATGCTTGGAAGAGATTATGGGGAATTCCAGGCAGCTCTTGGTAACAGCGTGTATGAACTATTTACCTTCCATTTCAAAGATGAGGAACCTGAGGCCTAGAACTTGAAAGTTATTGAGCAAGAGGGCTCTCCTGCTGTGGACTCTGGCCATGCAGCCATGTGGTCCGGCAGCAAGCTGGGCTCAGGAGTACATCTGGGCCTCAGCCCCTCCCCAGTAACATGACTCTCTAGAGACCCTTCCAGGGTGACGGATCTACCAGGATTCTACCACTTAGATTTATTCTGGTATCATAGGCATCGTAAGTGCTTACCTTTCATTCTCTCGCATAACAGCCTGTCCAGGTGGATGCAGAAGAAACCTGTGACCTAGATAAGGTTAAGTGACTTTCTCACAGAGCCAGTATTCCAAGCTAGGTTTTCCTGATTCCAAACGTGTGGCCCCACCTACCATACAGGTCTCTCTGGGATCTCGGGGGGAATTTCCTATGGCTGGGATAGAATAATTGTGCTGTTGTCCCCGGTAATCCCACCCTGAAGAGAGAGGACTAGTATCAGGGACCCCAGTTTGCTGAGCAGCCCTTCGTTCCAGTGTCCTTGGCAGTTTCTGGAACCTCAGACCATTTTCCTGGGCAGCAGCTCAGTCCTAAAACAAAACACTGGATGCCTTTCTTAAAATAGATTCTGGGGAAGGGATCCTTGACAAGCAAAGCCCTCAGGCTGTGTGGGAATCTAGCAGTTACTATAGCTTGTTGGGAGAGGAGGGCCTCTCCATCCCACTAGCTCCTGGTCCCAGGGGCCCCTGAGCTGCTGTGGGCCACCGTGTATGTCACAGAGAGAAGGAAATGGGGAATGAGGGTGGTGGGGATTACAGGTGCTTTGTCCTAATGCCTGGGGCTCTAGAATATTGTTTTAGGGCTTTATTCTAAAAAGAAAAGGGAAATTGGCAGTATGGACTCTTCTTTTTGAATAGTGGGAAAGAGCACAGGGTTGGAATGTTCCTGGCGAGGGCATCTAGGGTATTGGGATGGAATAGCTCTCATGTACCAAAGCACAGACATCACCCAGTCCACCATTCATTGTCCACATGAAGAAACTAAAGCCCAGAAAGAGGGAAGAACTTTCTAGAGCCACACAGCCAGTGCCAGTCAAGGCCAGATTTCCCGGTCCTCAGCCCTCTCATCCCCTTCTGCCCCAGGGAGCATATCCGGGAGCCTGTACCCTGAACCAGGACTGCTCCTCCTCCAGGGGCTGCTCCAGCCTGTGCTCTCAACTGTGCCAGCCACTTGAGAGGGTGTTGGGGAAGCACTTGGCCTTTGAGGGCCACCATGAGGGTCTGTGTTGATCTTACTGTTGAGGAGCTGGGGGGAATTATAAAAGGACTTCAGTGGTGAGGGTTAGCAGAGCATGGGGAGTGGGATGCCCCAGCAGGCCTGCCACCAGCTCAGGCAAATCACTTTTCCTGGAGCTTTAGGTCTCCACATCTCTAAATGGGAAAGCCAGCCTCCACCTCGCAGAATGAGCATGAAAAATAAATAGAAGGTGTTTGTAAATGCCAGTGCACAGTGGAGTGTCACGTAAGTCTGCACTGCCCAGCAGGGTGGTCTGTTGAGACACTAAAGTCCCAGAGGGGCACAGCGCAGTGTACTGGTTTTGCTCAGAGGGCTCTATTTATTAAAACACACCATCATGGAGTAGAAATGTAAAATTCCAAACAGTTAACAAGATAAAATAGGATGCCTCAAGATTTTATGCCGACAGTAACTACCCTCCCAGCCCTCGGAGATGTGTTCACTGTCTCGCTGTCAGGGGTGCTTTGGAGTGTCAGTTTGAGAAGGCTTGCTGTGTCATGCTGGCCACATGGGAGGGACAGTAAGGACCTCCACTCTCCCGCTGAGTCTGGAGGGTTATGGGGAATGGCTGTGGCTGTAGCCTGCCAATCTGAATGGAGTAAGAGAGGCCTGAATGGTGGAAGTTTGGTGTGGAGGCCCTGAACCCCAAAATCAGAATTAACTAATAACAGACTTCTGTAAGTATTGTTTCAAATATGCTGTGATTTAAGCCATCTGCATTGTAGTGAACTGATCACTCTGCCACTTGCAGAGTGGTGCTGGGGGAGCCTGGGGCTGGGGTTTCCTCGAGGACTACCCCACAGGCCCTCAAGTAGCCTTTGGACTTGTCTCCACCAGGAACCTGCCCACGGAGGCAGAGATTTAGGACTCTGCATGTCACATGGTTCCATTTGCCTCCACTTTGTGCAAAGGTCTCTGTGTAGTTTAACCAGCAAATAGCACTGGAGGTAAGATCTCTGACCCCTGTGCGGATACTCCAAGGAGTGGAGCAGAGGAAAGCAGTAGAGTTAGGGATTGGATGACCTTGGACAAATCGTGTTACCTCTCAAGACCTTGACAACCCATAAAAAGGAGAGGTTCTCAGCATTCCTAAATGTGTTCACCTCCCTGACCTTTATAGATTGATATTCTTCATATTTGTCTTAGTTTAGAGCCCCTGGCCTTCTGTTGACTACATCCTTTCAAAACCCAAGGTCAGCAGGGGGTTCCCTATGAGGCCATAAAAGTTTATGAATTGCTCTTCATGAAGAGCACTTGTTGAAAAAAATTTTAATAAGAGACTTCTATCCCAGAGTTCAGCAAACTTTTGAGAACTGATGTCCTCCAAGGATTGTGGCACATCAAAGAAAACGGGACGTGAACATGTAAAGAAAGAATCCCAGCACCATGTGATGTGCAAAAGGCCTTTGTATGAGCGCAGGGGAAGGCATACAGGAAAGAGGAGCTAACTCAGCCTGGAACTATCAGAGCTCCGCTGGACCTGGGTGTGGAAGGACGAGCAGGTGTCTTCCTGGCTGGGGGGTAGGGAAAGAGGAAGTATTCCAGGAAGAAGGAACAGCTGATAAACACAAAAAAGGTGTAAGTGTGTCACACACTGACTAAGTGTGTACCTACTCAGGTAAGAAAGCTGGTATGCCTGGCAGTAAGCGTGCAGCGCACAAAGTGGCCACCATCTCAAGGCTGGAGAGGTGGGCCGGTGCCCGGGTAGTGCTGTGCCTTGTAGACTTTGCCGAGGTGACAGAACTCTGTCCTAGACAGTAGAGTGCCATGGAGTATTAGGCAAGGGAAAACATGCCCCCAGTTGCTGTCTTGGAAAGATCACCCGGTTGTTACACAGAGACAGGTTTGATTAGAGTCAGGAGGTACTGAAGGCAGAGACTAGTGAAACAATCTTAGATTAAGTCGAGTCTTACCTAAAGAAATGGTGAGAAGAATCAATACAAGAGCTATTCAAGGAACAAACTTACATTTTAGAGGCCTTGGCTGTCGGGTCCTCTGTTGTGTAAACCATCACCAAAGTGAGTCTTCGAAACAGACTGCTCACCCTGGCCTCCATCTCCAATGGCCCCACTGAGTATCCCCTAGTACAGCTCCAGCCAGCAAACTCAAGAAGATTCCACCTTACAGGACTGGAGACCCAGTTCAATTCAGTCTGCTGTTGAGAGTTAGTCTTCAAGTTAGTCTTCTCAAGCTAGGCAGGAACTCCCACCAGAGTTCAGGAACAGCCAAGGGGGATGTCAACATGAGCATCACCAAATCATCCAAAGGTCATCAGCACAAAATAATGTTCGTTAACTTTTGCTTATTAAGTAAATGTCGGAAGAGGAAAAGGCCACCAAAATCAAGATAAAGACTTGAGGTAGATCATTTGGGTTCTGTGGCAGTCTGATGCTGAGGGTAGTGGTCTTGACTATGAATCCAGAGTTCCGGACTTGGCTCTGACTGGTGGCCTGAGAAGTCCCTTTCCCTCCCAAGTGTTAGTCTCCTTATCCCCTGGATAAAGGAGGTAAACCAGATATGCTCATAGATGTCCCCAGGAATCTGTGGTCTTTGTCCCAACGGATGGTCTAGAGAGCCTTCCAGGGCTGACCAGCAAAAGTCCCTACTTAGTGCTGGAGCTCATGATCAACCTTAATACCCAAAGAAAATGCCATTTTGGTGGAGTTCACTTATTGTAATTCACTCACTTCTGCAATTGAATAAGGGTGAGACCTGGCAGGATACCAGCCCTCAGCCCCACCCTGTACAGGTACTATATATACAGGGCTGGCCCAGGCCTCTCCAGAAATCAGAACTTGGCCCACTTCCTTGGGCCAGCCTCTCTCTCCCCAAGAAGTGCAGAATCCTCTGAGGATGAAGGTCCTCTCCTGGTGCTCATTTTGATCCTGGCTTGGATGGGATGGGTCACCTCACAATTAGGTAACTTACCTCTCCTACTGAGTTTCACATGCCCTCTCCTGCTCCTACCCAGGGTCAGTCCAAATGTTCATCTGGTTTTGAAACTGAATTAAGATTTGGACTACTAGGAGCTTTTAAAAAGGCTACCCACTTTGGTCTGCTCTCTTTGGTCTGTCCACTCTTACAAACACTAGAATAATTCTCCTAGGGCCTATACCCTGAGATTCTTCAGTTCATTGTCCACCAAGATGCCACTGTAACTCTTCAATGCCTTGGCAATCTGCCTGCCTGTCAGGATGCAGCCTTTATTTCTAACATCGGGAGGATCACCAAACTAGAAGAAGCTTCTAGTCCTCCCATGTTAATTAGTTTCCCTATTTCTCACCCCTTCCCCCAGATGGTAGCAGGGAACAGAGAGAGTAGGTGGGACGGATGGGCTTTTCCTCTTCATTAAGTCACTATTTGTTTTCTTCCCAATTGTTTAAGCAATCACATTTGTTGAGAATATAATAAGGGCTATATAATAAATCCGATGAAACTGTGCACTGATGAATGTAAATTGGTGCAGCCACTATGGGAAACTCTATGGAGGTTCCTCAAAAAATTAAAAATAGAACTCCCATATGACCCAGCAAGTCCACTTCTGGGTATTTATTCAAAGAAAACAACTTGAAAGATATACATACCCCCATGTTCATTGCAGTATTATTTATAATAACCAGGATTTGGAAACAACCTAAATGTCCATCAATGGATAAATAAAGACACTATTATATACAATGGAATAATAATCAGCCATAAAAAGGAATGAAATCTTGCATTTGTGGCAACATGGATGGACCTCAAAGGCATTTTGCTAAGTGAAATAAGTCAGAGAAAGACAATACCTAGTTTGATCTCCCTTAAATGTGAAGTAAAATAAAAAGATCCTATTTTCTACCTTGTTTTCTATTTCTAATAGAGCAAAGAAAGGTCTATAGCAGAATTAATGAGCGAAGATGTGCTCTGTCTGATTAATGGGTGTTGAGGACTGATGCAGCTGGACTTCTTACCTCTGTTGACCTGGACTGTTGAAAAACAATAGTCTTTCTGTGACTTAACTGCACCTTAATGGATTGAGCCAAACATTCCTTTTCCTCCCTTCCTTTGCTCCTTTCTTTTTTAATTGTCATGAACTATACACAACATAAAACCATTTTGACCATTATTGCATTATTAAGTGTCCAATTCAGTGGCATTAAGTACATTCACTTTGTTGTGCAACCATTACCATCAACCATCTCCAGAACATTGTCATCTTCCCCAACTGAAACTCTACCATTAAGTAACACTAACTCTCCACTCATCCTTTTCCCCCAGCCCCTGGCAACCACCATCCTGCTTTCTGTCTCTATAAATTTGACTACACCTTGTGTGGAATCATAATATTTGCCCTCCTGTGTTTGGTTTATTTCATTTAACATAATGCTTTCAAAGTTCATCTGTGTTGTAATGTGTCAGAATTGCCTTTCTTTTTAAGACTGAATAATCTTCCACTATAAATTACATTTTGTTTATCTGCTCATTGAATATTTGGGGCTATTGTGAATAACACTGCTATGAGCATTATTGTACAGATACACCTGTTCAAGTCCCTGCTTTTAATTCTTTTGAGTACATACCCAAAAATGGAACTGCTGGATCATATAATAATCCTGCACTGAATTTTTTGACTAATTGCTATATTGTTTTCCACTGTGGCTGCACCATTTTACATACCCACCAGCAGTGAATAAGAGTTCTGTGAAATCACTAATTTTGTGTGACATCTTTCCTGATTTCAGTACATGTTAACTGTTGAACATTTTTAAAATGCAAGAAAGCGAAGTGTAGAAAATAAAATCTGCTCTATTCTAACTATCCAGCTCTGCATTTGACCTGAATACATCTTATTCCCAACAGGAAGTGAAGGGCTGGTTGCCCTGGGACGATTCTATCTATTGCAATGCTGGAGAGAGGGATCCAAGAATAGTGCTGAGGCCTCCTCTGCCTGACCCCATCGTCAGAGCCCGGATCCTGGCTGTCCCTCGACCCTAATCATAAGTAACGTTCATGCAGTTAAACTGGCTTCTAGCCATATTCGTGAGGTGTTCCTGGGAAGGTTGCAGGCACAACATGGGGTTGTCACATTATCTGTGGGTCAGTCTCATCTTTAAAAAGCCACGTCAGGGTTGGTAAGGCAAAACATAACATGTTTGAACAAAGGGACTTGTCCAGAGAAACGCATTCTACAAACGTACCATCTGCATCTTCAGAGTGAAGCTTTCCTTTTTCGACCTGAGGGCGCCAGAGGAGGTGAGTCTAATCCCTCAAACATCAGCAACCCGCACTAGCAAGCCAGTCTTCTCCAAGTCTATTGGCTGATTCCTACTCTCTCCTCCTATCACCGCTGCCGTTAACCCTCGGCCTGTACTTTGATTTGTCCTCCCCGCAGTCGCTCTGCGCCAGGGGCGTTCAGAGGCAGCCACTGGGAGTTGCTGGATTCGGGTTTTAAAAAACGCCGGCAGAGAATCGGCAGTGTGGGTCATTTGAACCCGCGGCGGCGCGGGCGGCGACCGAGCACCCACCCCGCCGGGGCACGCATTCGAGGCGCTTCCGGGCCTCCCTCAGACGCCAGCCTTTGCCCGCGGACCCCGAAGGCCGAGGAGGAGCTGCGGGGCGCAACCCTCCGCGCCAGCCATGGACCCGCCCCGCCGTATACGCAAGCCCCAAACCCCGAAGAGGCGCGTCTCCAGCCCTGTCCCCGGCCCCTCCCGGCCGAGCATCTCCTTAGGTAACCGGCCGCGAACCCTTTCCCTTTGAGCCGGTCCGCGTGCCCAATTCACACACGGGAAAACAGGCTTGTCTGGGCTCGAGCCCGAACCTCCCGACTTCGGGTCGGCTGGCCCTCCGGGGCGGGATGAGAGCGGTTCTGCAGTCCAGCGTCTGCCCTGGGCGCCGCCCAAGTTCCAAGCCCAGAGTGGGACTGGGAAGGGCAGTTCCGAGGAGGACAAACGACTGGCCCGGAAACCTGGCCCCTAATGCTAACTCGTCTTGAGACTACTAGCATTATAGGGTGGTTACCACTAACTAGACATTAACTCTTTACGTGAATTATCTCAACTTTATGTTGGGCCCATTTTACAAATGAGAAAGCTGAGGCTCGGATAGGCCACATACCTTAGCAAGCTTGTTCTGGCAGACACAAGATTTTTAAAAAACAGTGTTTGTCCTTTTTCAAACTGCAAAACTATTGGCTTCTTTTTGTGACGATTTCAAACAATTCTGCTTTTAGAAGGTTCCCTCCGGATTTTTCATGTTTTTGTTTCTTCAGTGAGTGGCTGTGTTAGGCCTTCACCAAAATGCTCCATCCGAGCAGTGCTCTCACCTGTTCTCTCCCAGAGGTTATGTGCCTGGAAAGAACACTGCTCAGTGATCCTCCTTTCTGTGGTCTGGTGTATGAAATACCCGCCTGCAAGAGTTGTACATGTGTCAACAACTGCTCTACTTGCCTTCTACATAGTTAAGAGCAGGGTGGGAAAAAAATACATTATGGGTTATCTATAGATGTTGCTGTTATGAATGGGATTTTTGTTCTTTCAAAAACATAAATAACCTTTGCATCCAGCCAACTTGCTGAATTCTCTTTTAATCTTAATGGTCTTTCAGTTGCTTCAGTTGAACTTTTTAAGTAAGCTATTATTCGCAAATAAGGACTTTTTAAACTTTTTCATTTTTGTGCATTTTCTTTCTTATTGTATTACTGAGACCCTAAAAGTAAAAGCAGTGTTTAGCCATCTTTGCCTCACTTGTAATTTCCATGGGAATATTGTTAAGCATGATGTTTACTGTTGCTTTCCAATGTAGAAACATTCTTCTGGTTTTATTAAATGTTTTATCCTCAGTGGGCACTGGACACTTCCCGGCAGGCCCACTGCACTTGTCTGGCAACGTTGCTCTTCCATTTTCCCCAGTGACTGACTATTCTGTACCTTTTTCATAAGATTCCTCCAACTCCATTCCCCAGCTTGCTCTCAGCTGATGATGACCTTGCCTCATGCTTTAGTGAGGAAATAGAAGCCCCCAGACTGAATTCCCGTTATTTTCTCACTACAGAGAACTTAGGGTCCCCCTTCCTATCAAGATCTACGCTTTCTACATGGGCTCTTGGTCACAGTCTTCTCTCACTTCCCAGGGGCTTCCTGTTGTCCTCTCCACCTGCACTCAGGATTAAGTCCATACTCCATGCATTGGCACTCTGGGCTTTGCCATTTCTGACCTAAAGGAAAAGTGCACACATCCCCATCTCCCTCACTTGCCTGTGCTGCAGAGCTGCCCTTTCAAAAGTAGACAGACTTGAGTCTACACATGAGTCTGTTTCCCTTCTTCCCAGTCACCCTTCAACCCATTCCAGTCTGACCCCACAACTGCTGCCCCTCCTTCTAGTGTATGCACTTGAACTGCTCCTGTCACCAGCTACTGTCAAGTTGCCCAATCAGTGGATGTGTACATGTCCTTTTCTTACTCGTGTCTTTCAGAAGCATTTGACACAAGGGCCACTTTCTCCTTGAAATGCTCTGTCCCTTTGGCTTCACACACTGTGAAGAGTGTGAGAGTGATACACACACTCTGAAGTTCCTGCTTTGCGTTTTTTACTGCCTGTGCCATCTCTCTTTAGCAACTTGACGTTGGACTCCCTTGGTGTCCCATTTCTTTCTTGTCCTTCCCCAGCTGGTCTTATCCACTCCCATGACTCTGTGTTCCACCATCGACATGTCTCACATTTGTATCTCTAACCCAGATCTCCTCCACTCCAGACCTCTACCCTAACTGCATTTCTACCTGTTTTTGTGTTTTGCCCTCTTTCATTATTTTATTATCTTTAATATTTCTTTTGCTTGCCTTCTTTTGGTTTATTTTAATAGTTCTCTTCCTACACTTGAGTTCTATACTAGTTCCACTATCTTTTAAGGTTCTTTTTCCTAATAGATTTTGAGACTGTACATTTTCTTCTAGTACTATTTGTCTTTATCATGTAAGTTTTGAAATGAGGACTTTTTATTCATTTCTAAGTAGTCTTACTGCAGGTACATTTCACTTGAGTTAGAGAATTTTTATTTTTTGTATCTTGTGTGGTTAACTTCTGACATCAGAGAGTTTGACTCTTTTAAATTCTACTTTTGGGAATGTTTGTAAGATTTTTTCTTTTTTGTTTTCATTGGAACCAAACCTCTCTGGGCCTCAGGATAACCAAGACAATGGAATTGTACCAGATAACTTCTCAGATTCTTTCCAGCCCTAAAATAAGACCTAAAAACAAACTAGCTGAGTTTCCAATCTAGGTGGGAAAGAGAAAAGATGCACAAAGTACTGTGGGACCCAGAAGAGGAAGGTGACCCCTCACTTGGGAAGGGTTTGGGAGTCAGGAAAGGTTTCACAGAAGAGTTGGCATTTAAGACAATAGTCTCAAAGGATCACTAACTCATTTTAACAAATATTTATTTAGCAGCTATCTGCTGTTCTCTAATTGCTGAAGATAACTGCAGTGAATAAAATAGACACAAACCCCAGTTTTTGTGGATCATAGTACAGTCTAGTGATTTGAGTTTGCCTGTCTCAGCCAAGCTGCAGGGCACCACCCATTCTCCACTACATTTTATCTTTATGTCCCAACTCTTTTCCTCAGGCGCTTCCTCCCGCCCGCGTGGCCGCCGGAGATCCCAGGTTCTGAAGGAGATCCGAAAGCTTCAGAAGAGCACACACCTGTTGTTGCGGAAGAGTCCCTTCAGCCGCCTGGTGAGCTCCGGGCGGCTCCTGCCTACCCCATACTGCCTCCTCTTTTAATTTCCCAGGTATTAGGGCCCTGTCATCTCCTGTCTGAATGGCAAAGGAAACTCTTTAACCTGGTAGGGGACTTCACCTTCTGAAAACATGAGATTGCCAAAGGCACCTTCCAGCTCTTTAGGGAATTAATTTCTAACTCCCACCACCTTTGAAGCTGTGCTCTTCGATTATATAAATAAGAACCCTCTCATCCTTCTACTCTTTGATCCTTTTTCCTTCACTAGGAAATTGCCTCCTCCTCTGCCCACCACCAATAAGAGACATGCCAGTTCCTAAGCTCCTAGAAATTGACACCAGCTACTAGTCAGGTCCTAAGATTAAGGGCTAGGAAGGTATAAGAGAAATGAAGACTCGTGGAGACTAATGGAAAAAAATCTCTCTTCCCTTGAATCTCTTTTTTTACCCTCTACTCCTCCCCACTCCCTTTCTCTCTTGCTCCCCATCCCCATTCCTTCACAGGCAAGAGAAATCTGTGTTAGATTCACTCATGGTGTGGACTTCAGTTGGCAAGCCCAAGCCCTGTTGGCCCTACAAGAGGTAAGAAGGGGGCCAGATGGAGTCGGGTGAGGTGTGAGTGTGGGAGAAAGGCATTCTGGAACTCCACGGGCTGACTATGGAGTATCCATTGCTGAATCTCAGTTCCTTTAAAGCAGCAAAAGGAACCCCTAGGGTTTGGATGCTGGGTTCTTATTTGGTGGTAGCAGAATTCCCAGGCAGAATTCAGTCTCTGTCTGTGAACAGCCTCCCCTACAGTCCTGTGAACCCTCAGAGACTAAGCTCTGCAGGGCTCCAAAAGAAAAGCAACCCCTGCCGCTTGTCTGAGTCAGTCTTTCTCCCTCTCTCCTTGGAGGCGGCAGAAGCATTTCTAGTCCATCTCTTTGAGGACGCCTATCTCCTCTCCCTACATGCTGGCCGAGTTACTCTCTACCCAAAGGATGTGCAGCTCGCCAGGAGGATCCGAGGCATCCAGGAAGGGCTCGGCTGAGCTCCTGCCACCCGGCTTGGTGAGCCTTTCCTGCTCACCAGAGTGAGTGCTCTTTGGGGAAGAAACACCCAGCTTCTCATCACACGGGGTGGGAGTGTCTCTGAAGGAATTTCCCTTCTCCATCCTTAGTCCCTTGCTGGCTCTCTCATCTTCCCTTTGTTCTCTAGAAAAGGTTTGGCCTGATTTGAGCTAGAATGTTTGGGACTCTATGGCCCAAGCCCTTTGTACAGTGTTAAATAAAGATATTTTTCTATTAAGTAATGACCAGATGAGCTGAATCTCTAAGTTAAGCCTCTCCATTTTACAAAAACCAGATGACCTCATTTGAATCAAGAGAAAGTTTTCTTTCTTTGAAAATGCCTTGGTAGTAAATATGATTTCTAACTTTCAGGGTGATACCAGGGAGTCTGTCCCGAGGAACAGATCCATGGAGTATGAGATGCAGCCTGTACTTGCTGTCTCTGAGCAGAGTGGACACATTTTTGTAATTTCTTTTTTAAGAAGGAGAAGACTGCATGGCTTTCCTCTGTAACAGAGGTAGTATATGAGAAAATCAACACATTTCCAAAGGCCTGAGAATTATTTTCAGCTAACTAGACTCCAGGGTTTACAAATTATTCATAGGACTATTTAATGACTTTGAAGACATCAGATTTTCTGGGTTATGGGAGAAAAGGATATTTAGTAATTATTTTAGATCTTCTGTACCATTTAACATTTTTACCATATGTATATTTACATTTTTAAAAAATATAAGGAGAAAAAGAAGACCACTTCAGCCAGCTGCATGGAGGAACTTGGCACGTTGAACATATAAATCTCTGTCCTTCAGATTAAGCTCAGCTTTAGTGGCTGCAGCAAGTTCCTATGTGGACTGTGCCTGTCAACGAATGTATAGCTTTTCTAAAACTCAATTGGGGTTAAAACTTTTTAAATCTTTAAGTTTTGATGTTCTAGTTTCTTGTAACAAATTCCTATGAAAATCACTCAGAAATTCTAACTTGTAGAATTTCTCTTATTTGTAAATCACAGAAAATATATCATAATTTATATGTTAGAATTTTTCATTCCAGGATTTTAAAGTGCCTTTCCAGTGTCTTTATAGGTATTTTTATAACTTCTTTGTGAAGAGATAATAAAAATTAAAATAATTCTTTAATGAAAAAATTTTAAGGGAAGTTACTGTTTTAGCATACAGAGGCTATACTGTATTTTTGGTTTGCTAACATTGAGTTCTTCATTTGTACACTGTGTGCAAACAGCCAACGTTGAAAGAAGATTCAAGGGATGTGTTTTTGCCTCCAGTTGAGTAGAGAATGAGCAGATGAAAACCTTGCCCTTCCATTGTAACTGAAAGCAGTTTAAGAGATTTCCAGAGAAATGGGAAATCCTACCCAAATATTTTTATATTTTATGTTTGGTGAAAATGATTAGTAAGAGGGAGATCACTAATAATGCTGTGTTGGTCAACTGAATTCAGAGAAACATTAAAAAGAAGGACCAAGCTCTATTGTTAATAAATTTTAACCCTTTGGAAAAACTTCTTTCTGCTTGACATCAACTCATATTTATGTAGACATTTGAAAAAAGCTTATCTATGAATATATTTAAAATTCTTGTCAGAGTGTTATTAATTAGAAGATAGCCTTCCTCTAGTTTTCTTTAAAATCACACTTCTCTGCTCTTTTAAAATTATACTAACCAGGACACCACTCCAACACGTGTATACATTACATTCAAAAGCCATGCAGGATGCATGCCCTCAGCACCACATAGAATTTATACACATGAGAATAAGTAATTTACATCATGATAATGTTATATGATACTGTTAGAGTTTATTGTAAAATTTGAGCACTTCTAGTGGAGTTTTGTTTTTGTTTTTCTCTACTTTCTGGGTAGCTCCATCAACATGATCTTCTAACCTTTCCATGTAATTTTTTATTTCTGCTTTCAGTTTAATATTTAATGACTCTTAATTTTTTGAAAGCTGTTTTTTTATGTCATCCCAATCAGTGTTTACTCAAAAAAACAGAAACCAATCTAGATATTTCAAGCAAAGAGGAATTTAACAGAAAGGATTGGTTAAATAATGTCGGGAGGGCTGGGAGAGCAAAGGGTAAGAAAGGATGGTACCCATAGAACAGGAAGCCGCTCATGGCCAACTGCTGGAAGCCGCACCTGCCAACGCTTGGGAGAACTGCAGTGCTGCTATTGAGCAGGAACTCAGGAATCCTCTAACCAAGGCTGCCGACACCACCGCTGACGCCGAGGGAGCCCTTGTCATCCGCAGCTGTTTCTGCTGCCAAAGACACTCCCTAACTGCAAGAGAAAAATGTTCCCTTTTTCCTCCAACCTTCCAGGCCCCACCAGCATTTTTCCATTGGCAGAACCTACCCAGAAGCAGCTGCAAGGAAGTCTGGGAAAATCATTGGCCACCTTCTAACCTATGTTACAGAGCGCTTGAAAGGGTGAGCATTGAGCTTGGAGCCTATAGAAACAATCTGTACACATCCTACTCTGGTTTTGTGGGTGTAATGCCATTTTAAGGGCATTATAATTATAATTTTTCTTACTGGTTTTTGTTTCTCTTTTTTCCAAGTTGATTTTTTTTCCCCCTGTTCTGGTCGTTCACATACAAGGTTTTCCTTTAATGTTTAACAATCCTTATGTTTAAGAGTAGGAAACAGAAAAGCTAATGGGAAGTTCTGAGCATACTGATGGGACTTGTTGATATAGAGCTTCACTGTGAAATGGTCAAGTGGGCCTTTTGTTGGGGAGCGCTCTGTTCTCCTGGGCTAGCAAATGCCCCAGAGGAGAGTCTTCTAATCTGCCTGGTGGGTAAAGGCCTAGTTTAGTGGAAGAGAGCTGAGGATCCACGTTCAAAATTCACTGTGCATAAGTTTCCTCAATCACCCAGGCTTTGGCCTCCCCAAATCCAGAGACCCTTGATTTTTCTCTTCTCTTGAGATAAGCCTCCCAGACTTCGCTGGGATGGGAGAAAAAGAGCCCCACCCAGTGACTGAGTGATAGAGAGGAGCATCTAGGGATTTGTTTCCTAAATAACTTATGAACTGTCCTCTCTATTTTAGCCAAGCCTCATTCACACCCAGTTGTGGAAGTACTTGATGCTCTTGGTTCCTGAGCCTTGTGAAGGTTTTGCTGTGTAGATGTAATGGTTCTCAACTTTCCCTGCCGCTAACTTAGTATTCCACTCTCTTGGGTCTGTGAAGTCAGTTTCTACTTGTCTACTTTCTTTCAGAATTTTGTTACTGTTTTCTCCTCTCCTGTTCTTTGTGAAATTCATCATTGTGAATTTTTGTTGTTTTTTTACTGTGTATAGAATTGTGGGTTGGAAGTTATTTTCTTCCTTCATGAGAGGAATGAGAAAGCCGATTCAACTGTTTTCTGGGTTCTGCTTTTGCTATTGAGTGGTCAGCTGTCCATCCAACATTTGCTCCCTTGAAGCTAATGTTATTTTTCTGGCTAGCTCTTCTTAAAGGAGTTTTTGGTTTTGATGTTCTGCACTGTCATCATTATGTGCCTAAGTGTGGATTTCTTTTTATTTATCTTGCTTGGCATTCATTGGGCTACTTGGATAGGGATTTTTGTCATTTAGTCAGTTTTGGAAACTTCTAAACCACTATTTCTTCAGATATTGCCTTTCCCCTTTCTCCCGCCTCTTTCAGGGATGCCAATTATCAGTTTACTGGGCCTTTTCACTGTGTCCCTGAAGTCTCTTTCCCTCCTGTTTTTCTCCTTTTTGTCTCTCAATGCTGCATACCTGTTTCTTCTGCCCTGCCTTGTAGTATTTTCCATAAGCTCTGGCTAATCTACTTTTGAAACTGACCATTATCTTAATTTCAATTCTTGTGTTTTTTAAGTTCTAGGATCCCTATTTAATTCTTTTCAAAATCATCAGATCATTTTTCATAGTTTCCAGTTCTCTGCTGAAAATGTCAGACTTGGTTTTTATATCCTTTAACATAGTAAGCATAGCTGCTTTTACAGACTATGTCTGGTAACTTATATTTAGAATCCCTATGGATCCGCTTCTATTTGTGGTTTCTGTTGATTCTCTCTCCTGATTTTTTTCTCTCTTTGGTGCTTGGTTACATTTGATACCTTGCCTGACACACCTATATGGAAATAATTTGAAAACTCGGATGATATCTTCTAAAGAGGATTGTTTTTTTTCCTACCAGTGCCTAGAGGCACTAAACATTCAGAGCCACCTTAATTTGATTTCAGAGCTTAAAATTTCTGAGCCACCCAGAAGGTTCAAAGCCAACGTACAGTTTGTGTAAAGTCTGAATTTCTTCTCATTTACCTTCTTCCTGAGGTATAACCAGCCCTCCACAGTCAGCTCATCATGCTCACTTTGCAGGATCTGTACATTCACCTTTATGTCCTCAACCCCACAAAGCTGCTGAAAGAATAGCTCATTCTTCCAAAACTACTTTTTAAGGACTGGCAAACAGCTCCATGAAAAAGTGTGTTAGGCCTAATCTGCTATTAAACTCATCTCTAGACTTCTGACCTCTTTTTGTTCTTGGATCAGTAATTATTAATAAGTAATCACTGTCTTCCTTGCAGTTCAATACTTCTAAAGAAAATAAATTAGTTCACGTTTTTTAGTTGTCTTCAATAGGAGAGTGATCCAAATGGCCATTGACATAAAGACAAACAAACCACTGTAATGGAATAAAATAGCCTAGAAATAAACCCTTGCATGTATGGTCAAATGACTTTTGGCAAGGGTACCAACATCATTCAATGGGAAAAGGCCATCTTCTCAACAGATATTGCTGGAAAAACTGTATATCCCCATGCAAAAGATTGAAGTAAGACCTTTACCTAACCCACAGAGAAAAATCACCTCAAAATGGACCAGAGACCTAAACGTAAGAGCAACAATTAAAAATTCTTAGAAGAAAACATAGGCAAAATGTTTACCACTTTGGATTTGGCAATGATTCCTTGGACATGATACCAAAGGTATAGACAACTAAAGAAAAAACAGACAAATTGGACTTCATAAAAATTAAGAATTTTTGCGCATCAAAGGACACTCAAAGTGAAAAGGCATCACACAGAGAGAAAATATTTACAAATCATGTATTTTATAAGGAATTAATATCAGAATAGAGAACTAAAACCAACAACAACTATAAACAACTTAATTAAAAAATGGGCAAAGGACTTGAATAGGCATTTCTCCCAAAGAGAAATACAAATGGCCAATAAGCACATGAAAAGATGCTCAACATCATTAATAATACAAAACAACTATAATGAGATACCATCTCACATCCATTAGTGTAGCTACAATAAATAAATATGTAAGTAAAAAGTGCTGGTGAGGATGTGGAGAAACTAGAACCTTTGTGCACTATTGGCTGGAATGTAATGGTGCAGCCATTATGGAAAACAGTATGGTAGCTCCTAAAAAAGTTAAAAATAGATTTGCCATTTGATCCAGTAATTCCACTTCTGGGTGCATACCCAAAAGAATTGAAAGCAAAGTCTCAAAGACACTTGTACACCAAAGTTCATTGCACAACAGCTAACATGGAAACAACCTGTATCCATAAACATGAATGGAAGCAATGTGATACATGAATGGAATGTGATACATACAATGGAATATCATTCAGCCTTAAAAAGAAAGGAAATTCTGGCATATGTTACATCATGAATGAACTTGAGGATACCATGTTAAATAAACCAGTCACGGTAAGACAAATTCTGTATGTCCACTTATATGAGGTACCTATAACACTCAAAATCAGAGACAAAAGTAGAATGGTGAATGTCAGGAGCTGGTGGCGGGGGGAAGGAAGAAGAGTTCGTGTTTCATGGGTAGAGTTTAAATGTTACAAGATGAGGAGTTCTGGCAATGGGTGGTGGTGATGGTTACGCAACAATATGAATGTACTTAATGCCATTGAACTGTATGTACACTTTAAAAGTGGCACCTGCTGGCACCTTGATCTTGGACTTTCATCCTCCACAACTGAGAGAATACATTTCTGTTATTTTAGCCACCCCATCCACGGCACTTTTCTAGCCTTGGCAAATGAATACAGCCCTCATGGACCACCCGGATCTTGCTGTTACAGGGGCACCCACAAGGAGATAAGCTAGGCATGACAAGGGAAATGGGCTCTGGGCCCATTACAGTGTGTGTGGGTGTGCAAGAGTGTAAGGTGAGGAGGTGAAATGTCACCACAGCAGACATGGGATGTGGGCTGTTCAAAAGCAGCAAAGCTGGGGGCTACACAAGTGGGTATGCCCAGTAGAAGAAATCGGTCCCTATGTGCTTAGGAGGAGTCCCAGACTCACCTGGGGCCTTTTCCACTGAAAATCCCCAGCAGGGAATGTTGAGTGGGAAGAAGAATTGCAGAACTCATGGTAGGAAGAGAACTGCTCAGCTCCAACATCCAAGGTGGCAAGAACAGAGGCCACAGGCCCGGAAAGAAGCCTGGAGGAAAGTGAACCTGATTAGATCATTAACACTGGCAACATCGGTTCAGGCAT